TTAACACACATAAAATTAAAAGTTGACAAGGTATGTATTAATAGAAAATGATTACAATGATGATAAACATTTTCTGTTAAGATTGCTCTAAGTTTGATTAAATGACTAAGTAATTTCTTTCTTATCAATTATTATCTTATCTTTATCTTAACGATCCCAAGCTGTTTGAGAACGCGATTTCAATGGGACTTTTTTGTACTGCTAATAGTCTGAATTAAAGCTACATTATAGATAGGCTTCATCAAAGTTTATCGTCTATTAATAAAAATCTTACTGAACTTTATGTTCTACGTACTCCCTTATGAAGTTGCAATCATCATTAAGCTATGGATTTAATAAAAAATTAAAAACCAGTGAGAGAAGTGCTCGCAGTAATGAGAACATTAATAGCAGCTTTGTCGTATTAAATTACTTATTTGCGATTATTACTTATGATTATAGAGGTTTGGATAATCTGTGCATCCGTTAAAATTAACTTTGTATAATTCCGTAATTTATTTAGCATCCATGTGATTGTAATCTCATCGTAAAGTAAGACGTAATTTTAAATATTATTTTTGTATCCCTGAGTTACCAATTATTGAAATACTTATTAAATACTCAACCTCATTTTTAAGTAAGCAAAATGAAATTTATATAAATACAATTTGAGCGGGACAGTTTAGAAAACAGAGAACGTGAACGTGATTTGCTGTACATTTCCAGTTATCCTTAAAGATGTTTTATGAGTTTTGCATTTATGTATGATATCCATTCTTAGAATGATTTAGGATGCAGATAACAGATTACCTAACTGACTTGCAAAACTGTTTGAATATTATGTAATACATGTGAGTTCTTTTCTTTTATTTATGTTAACAACTTCTACTATCATATTAAAAAAATCCTTACTAAATTTTATAAATGTGAAAGTATGTTTGTTAGTTTGTCCTTATTTCAAGATTTGTTAAGCCAAAGAATGGCAGAAGCCTTTTATTCCACATTCAGTGGTTCCGTGTAATTTTAGTCTGGTGCAAAAGGGAAATATCTAAACGAACCAGGCCGTTTCAAGCCACTAGTAGTAAATAGTAGAGATATACTATAAAGTAACTTTAAAAAAATACAATGATAGTAATTCTCAAATATAATTCTTACTAATGTTATATTGTAGATATGAAAGTATGTTTGCTGATCTGCTGTTTAGGTTTATGATATCATCAGCTATACTAATAATGCCAATAAATTCTGGTATAACCATAGTTTCTATTATTAAAATCGTGAGGCAAAAGCAACCCAAAGAAAATCGTGTGATTTTACTAGTTATTTATGACGTCCTAGTTCCTATACAGGATGGAACAAATCCTTTTTTTGCATTTTTATTTGGTTCGATTTCCGGTTCAGGTAAGCTTTTAAAAAAAATATTAAATGCAGTTATTATTGTTTTTAAAAATAATAAATTGTTTCCTTTGAGTCAATCTTGATAACTTTAATATTTAAGGTAGTTTTCTTCCATGTCCCATCGATTTGATCCACCCTGTATATTATATCAGTAAATCAGTACATTATATGAGATACAGAAAAAGATACTACATCCTACATTCTTATACTCGTATATGTATTGCTTTGCTAATTTGGGACCACTAATAGCGTCACGAAAACGTGATATCGGTAACGGAACTCAGTATGACATTATGTTTTGTAACAACGCACTCCAATTACTCTTATATGATGAATAATATCTACAAACATTTGTTATTTTACGTTTCAATACAATGTAATAACAATAATGTATTCACAATCTTATTTTCTTTGTTAATTATTTTTCATACCACTACCTACACTTAAAAACCAGTATTATATAAATTCTATTACATACTGCTTATACAGCTTTCATTAATCCCTCAACGACCGCGGGGACACGCCGGCGTTACTGTTAACAATAGATTTCTTAGAATTTACCTCGAGGTGTTAAAGAACCATTATTTAAATTAATAAAAAGAAATGTAAATAGCCTCACATCATGAGAAACGTAGTATCTTTAAAAATATTCTGAAAGCTTTCACTGTCTCACGATTCTGATTCATTCACTAACGTACTATCTACTTTATGATTGTACATAAACTAAACTACCTTTCAAACGTAGCATTGACTTATTAGCTTGTAACTTCTAATCTATCTATACATGTAATAAAATTGTAACTAAGCCGAATCTGTACATTAAATATTTTTTGGAAAATCTTATTGAAACAAACATTATTATCGATACAGAGGCCGAATCTATAGTTTTTAGAATTTTTGTCTGTCTGTCTGTCTGTTACCGCATCACAGAAAAACCACTGCAGGGATTTGGGATGGTGATAGCTGATTATTCGGGTCAACATATATGATACTTTTTACAGCGGGGAAATATCTCATTTCTAAGAAAACATACAAAAACTCCAATGTAAGAGTATACTAATATGTAAAACCTAAGAATTTGGTTTTTGGTCATGTGAACGTGGGCGAAGCCGCGGGCAATGCTAGTAACATATACATACGTATTTAACTTAATACTATAAAGTACAAGGCAGTTTACCTACACTTGTTATGTCACAATTACTTTGGTCTTTGACACTTTAAAAACAACAGTTGTCGCTTTAGAGAAAAGTTGTTCGCTTAAGTATGTATGTATATAAATGTGTAAGTTTTGTGGTTAGCATGTTCAGCTGCAGATTCTGTGGTCTTGGGCTCGAAACCAGAGTCAGACCAAATATAGAGCATAAAGAGAGTTATAAATGCTTTCTTTGTCAGTTCGTTCAACCTGTATAAAATATGAACCTTACCATAAGAAAAAAATAGAATAAAATTAAAATAAACTAAAACACTCGTGTATATCTATCTATCTATACAAAATAAATGTACAATATAGTAATTACTGTACAATTGATGTCCGCGTGGGATTGGGGCAAGAATGCTTGTTGCATTCTCCTGCTGAATGGCAATGCCGATTTTTCAGGCGAAAGAGATTTTGCCACCAGCAGAGACTTTTTTTCATTATGTGTTTAAATCTTTTTACAAGTTTTTAGTAGTTATAAAAGAATAATTTGGTCTTAAGGAGGCGTATTTACATAACTTAATTCGGCCTTATATATAGTCCCCACATCCATCTCCCGTACTTGAAAGGTTGTCAATGTCAATAGCGTCCTCCAATATGTTCCATTTTCTTTCCCGAGGAACTACTGTCGATTGATAAGGTCTCTCGCCATCATCTCAACTTATTGCAAATGGGTCAATGGGAACAGGAACGAACCTCAATGGCTAGAGTCCTTTCGGTGGTTTCATTCAAAGAGAAATGCTAATTTTCTTTGATGTTCAAGTAACACCGGCGTTAATTTTAGTTGAGCAAAAATAAATGTGATATCATTTTACGCTATCACTGCTTTATAATAATCGAGACGCGTTCTTATGTAAGATTCCGGTGAAGCTGCATATTAACCAAATTAAACACTACGTAAAGGAGGTAGAGATTTGGTATAACTTTTTCTAGAAAATATTTTCTTAGAGAGCATAGGTCATGTAAACGACGACATGCGTTACTGGTTGTTGTGTAATAGATGTATCATCAAACCGATAATATTTTTAATATATCCATATCTTTTCTGTGTCGTAATATCAAGATGTTTTAACTGCGTTTCATTTAAAATTTAAATTTTATTTCTAGCAAATTACGTTAAGAAAATTCTGGCTTGCTAATCTGAATTTTAATATAAAATTTCATAAGTTTATGAACGATTTATGTTGACGGCTTGAACAATTATACGGTTTAATTAATTGGAATTCCTATCTTAGGAGTACTCAGATTTGATGGAAAAAAATATTTTAGTATACCTAATCAAGAGAGAAAAATATTTTATTATACTTATTGTATAATTATTTTACATAAAGTTATTTGTCGTGACTTGTTCAAGTACGACCAGACTAAGCCCCTGAGTTTAAGATGCAACTAAGAGGCGATTTTTAAAAGTTTAAGCTCTGAAACAGTGAAAAGACAAAGTTTATATCAAAGTAATATTTTTTTCCTCGAAACTTGGTATCAATGCTCTTAATGAACATTTACATTGTTTTTTTAAATATATATAAAATCTAGTCCTGTTGGAAAGCTAAATCAATTGGAAAAATTATGTGGTCTTTTAATTTTTACTTTCCGGAAGACTTTCTTAATTATTACCTAGACAAAACGGGCTGTATTTTAAAAACGATCAATGTCGGTTATTATTAACTGACTCTATTAATTTGTGTTAACATTATAGAACGTCAAAAGTTTAATATTGAATACCTAGTCTTACGACAATAATTTTAGTATATATAACATAAATAAAATTCACAAACACATCTCTCCACCTTGCAGAATACATAACAAACCAAAATTCTAATTTTATTTTATATATTAAGAAACAAAAGTAAAATTAGTACATAATCTTATTTAAACTGAAGAACAAACAAACTGAAAGAGTGAAATTCCTTAGTAATAATTTTACTTGTAAGTCAGAAAACGTCGTCAAGAGAGTCACAAATAGAATCCTTAATGGCCGTCTTTTCCAACAATTCGCTTTAATTGTGAAGGAAGATCGCATCACGCATGCAACTTACGTCAGTGGGGAAAGTGCATCATGATTTTGTATCACATGTTTAATATTATATTTATTTCTACTACTACAGATATACATTATAAATTACTTCCCAGTAAAAAACTTCATATCTAATTAGAAAATTAAAAGTTCATGTTTTATTCATGGAAACAGTAATAGATTGTATTATATGATAGAAATGACAAAGACGATGAATTATTCTCACGTTATATGAACTTATATAAGTACATTCGATTGCTTAGAGAAATGTAATAATGTCCTGAAAATTAAATCACATAACTATTTATTTAGTTAATAAAACTGCTAATTAAGATATATTTGCCGAATATTCATACATTAACGATGTACAACATCGTAAAGTATATGTAAAGGTAAACAAACACTAAAACTTACCGGGCGCATCGTGCAACGCTTCGTCACTGCACACGCGACTAAACAAGATGAAAGTTACACTGCACTAGTGTCGTCTCCGCTGTCTAGTCAAGCACTGCCCAGGTCGGAGGCGAGGGACCCTGTGATCACCAGACGGGCCACAGCCGACTGCATTACGCCCGCTACCTTTACTCATGTTTTGTTATCATAATCCGATACTTGTTTACAGTACAGAATGTCGGTGATTGTTTTAAAATTGTATTGAATTCCTTGTGTTTTTTTTGTATTGAAAACGTTATAAATTATTAAGATTTGAGATAGAAAAGAACTAAATTAATTTCTTTAAATTGATATACCATAAATGATTATGTTGAAAAAATGATGACATAAAATATTAACTAAATATTTTTTTATTAAAGTAATGCCATAAAATTATTGAATCGCTTCTGCTAACAAAATGTGTATAGACACGCAATTTTTGTCAATTACTTTCGATACGCGCACGTAATTTCATCTACATGTTATAAATCACGGAAAAAATCAAAATAAGGCTTTACGAGAACGAGATGATACAAACACTTTGTTTCTCTTTTTTAAAATACGATCAAATAGAAATATATTTAAAGTGTTTCATAAATACTTCCTGCATCAAGTGAATTAAACTGTTAATCTTTAACTATTATTATATAATATAATGAACTAAATAAATTTACTTCTAAAGTGAGTAAGTAGCTAATAACTACTTCCTACTATTTTTTTACCTTATATTTATTATATAAGAATTAAATAAAAACAAGAATGGTACCTTTTAATAACATACTTAGTACTTCTGAACTTATTTAACTTCCTAGCATAATATTTTTTCCAGGCATTATAAATATTTATATTTATTTTATTTTATTATGTTCTATAATATAGTATAATTATTTCTATAAACGTAACGCTAAACAAATCATAAAAAAAACATAATCCAGGAATTTAATATTCCAAATTACGAGTAATTAGAAATAAAAGCCTAAATGTAGTCTGTGAGCAACCTAAAGATGAATAGCAATTCGATGTGTAGTCCGTAGTAGGAAATAGTTTTGTAACCCGATTAAGCCAAATTTGCATTGCTAAGCATTTATCATATTACATAAAACCTTCCAATAAACTGCTCGACGAATTAGCCTCTTGCACATTTGTCAATTTCGTTTAATGTGAGATTTCGCTTAAAACGTTTAGTTTTTATTAAATTTGAACAATAACGAAACAACTCGTAAAATAATTAAATAAAATTAGGCACACATATAAAATAAATTTGAAATATGTCGTATTATGGTGTAAATTTAATGTATTACGAGACACATGCAATATGGTAATAATATAAGTTTCATAATTACGAACAATTTGGAAGGAATTTATTGATTACCAAGTTTCTAAAGTAAAGACATCAACGCGCTCGCTTCTTTACCTGTAAAGTATACAAAAAAATATCAAGCATATTGAAAAATTTATAATATTATGTTAGATAAAAGTGCACACGGAAATAAAAATAGATGCTTGTAAAAGTAAAACATCCATTTTTATTTCCGTGTGCGTTTTTATCTAAACATAATATAATATTTTTTTCAATATGCTAAATATTTTTTGTAGTTAGCATATAGCCAGGGCTTAGCAATTATTTCATCACTGAATCTTTATGAATATACAAAATGAGAGTAGCAGCAAGAGCAGATATTATCTAGTGATGACAAGTATTTTTTTCCATAAATTAATTATATAATAATGGCAATAGGATTTTTGGTCAAATAAAAATGAAGATTTGATTACAAGCGTAATAGAAACGAAATGAATGAAGAGGTCCGTGGCTTATTGTAGTGGGAGGTCAAGCGCCGACCGGTCTGCTCACAGTTCCCAACGAAACTTTCTTTTCCGACTATAGCCATGTCTTCGAACATTATTTTATTTGTTTGGCCGCATTTTCATTAGGATATCAGCTTGCAGTAGAGTGTAAAGATGATGTTTTAGAATTTATTTATCTACTATATCTACTATCTACTATATAATATCTACTATCTACTATATAATTAGAATAGTATTTATCTACTTTAGAGAATTTATCTTTTAATATTATAGACATATACCGATAACCAAAATCTGTTTTTTATAATATTTCACTTTACTTAGTGAAATTAATTTTTTTAGGCCGCTCCACGGCAGATGCTAGTGTTGAGCTAGTGAAAAATATTTTTGAGGCTTGGGAAAGGTCACAAGATGTACTTGGGATATTCTGTGACTTATCCAAGGCCTTTGATTTTGTACATCATGAGACGCTGATCAGGAAACTGCATCACTATGGTATTAGAATAAAGCACTTGACCTTCTGAATTCGTATTTAAAAAATAGAATACAGAGGGTTGATGTTAATGGTAAGAGATCTCGTGGAGCTCCATTAGATATGGGGGTGCCACAAGGGTCTATTCTTGGCCCCTTTCTTTTTCTAATTTATATTAGTGATTTGCCATTTTTGGTACAGGACAAATATGAGATAGTATTGTTCGCTGATGACACTTCACTTATTTTTAAAGTGAAGCGCAATTCGCTAATGTACGACGATGTTAACGATGCTCTCTCAAAGGTTGTCTATTGGTTTGATTCAAATAATTTATTATTAAATAATAAAAAATTAATAAAATTCTCAACACCTAATGTCAAACTAGTTGATAATGGTGTAACATTAAATAGCGAAGTGTTAAAACCTGTAGAGTCCACTAAATTCCTAGGTATTATCATAGATTCGAAATTGCAGTGGGGCCCCCATATTGAGGGGCTAGCGAGTAGACTCAGCTCTGCAGCGTTCGCGGTAAAAAAAAATAAGACTTCTTACTGATGTAGATACAGCTCGCATAGTATATTTTAGTTATTTTTATAGTATTATGTCCTATGGTATCTTACTATCCGATTTTTGTCCTGCAGAAAAGAGCTATTCGTGCAATTTATAGTCTAGGTCCTAGAGTGACATTAAGAGATAAGTGTAAAGAAATAAAAATATTGACTGTTGCTTCGCAGTACGTGTACGAAAATGTTATGTATGTCCGTAAAAATATACACGAATTTCCCAAGAAGTGTGACATGCATAACATTAATACTAGGAGCAAACACAAACTTGTAATGCCTGTAACTCGTCTACACAGAGTCAGGCGTCAGTAATTCTTTTTATGGACAATGTATACGCTTGTACAACAGGATCCCAGAAAATGTTCAAAAGGCTTCTATCGCCAAATTCCAAAAAAAATTGTTAAAGAACGTTGGTGTGCTAAAGGCAATAAATGATTTTATAGAAGATTGCACACCTTGGGAATGAAATGATCGCCTCCAGGCTACTTCAACTTGAAAGAAATATTGTAAATTATAATTTTACTTTAAAAAAGATTATACTTTAAGAAAAGATATTGGTCCCGCTGAGTTTCTTTCGCCAGTTCTTCTCAGGTCTGAGACTTCTGCTTTCCGAACTGGTAGTAGACTCATGACGTTCGGTAAAAAAATGTAATAATTTAATGCAGAATAAAATATTTTGATTTGATTTGATTTTAGTACTAAAAAATTAAACAAAAATAATATGTCGAAACACATTACAGCCAGCTTGAGACAAACATCGCCGATACAATAATTTACCCCATTCCCGATGAAACTCGTGGCCTCTCACTTGCTAGAAAATGATAGTCAACGTTACGACGGTCATTGCCATAAACACAGTCCAACAATAAAATGAGCTTTGAAATATTTTTTTAAATTTTGCAATATTTTGAATTTATGTATGATTGTTAATTTCGCCTCGTAAATATTTAATTTTAGTGTTAACATAATATTCAGCGATACGGAACCTTCGATACGGTAGTCTTATTCATTCTAGCCCAATTTTTAAATTTAAAGATCAGAGCCATAATTTATTAATATTTCCATTTCAAAATCATATCGGCTATTAAAATATTAGGTATTATAAAAAAAAAACGAGAGTTTTGTGTGAAATGCAGACAAACAGACAAAAAATTTAATAACTATTGATTTGGATCTACATAATAATTGTAATTGTTTTTAAAAAATATTTAATGTGCAGATTTCGCTTTGTGCCCATTTTATTATATGTATAGATTGATTCATTAAATAAAATAACTTTATCAAGTATTACTAAACCTGTGTCGCGTGTCGTGGCAGAAAGATAAATGTCATCAGTCGTCAAGCTCTTGAATAAAAGCAATTAAATGATTTGATGAAATAATTAATAATAAAAATTTAAAAATTACTCTGTAATGCTCAACGACATCTAGCCAATTCAACGGATGGGGCTAGCAGTCCGTATATATAAATATACATTTACAATCACTTATTTTCTCCAAAATTAGTTTAAAAAAAATATTTTCATTCAAATTTTGATTAGTACCTACTTATTATGTTTTATTATATTTTAATTAATTCTTCTTACATATTATAAATGCTAAAGTAACTCTATCTGTGTGTCTGCCTGTCCGTCCATCCGTCCGTCTGTTTGTTACATTGTCATGCTTAATCCGCTGAATTGATTTAGATGAAATTTGGTATGGTTTGGTATGATATTTTGAGACTCTGTGAAGGACATACAATAGTTTCTATCCCAGAAATCTTCCATTAAAGGATGAAAAGGTGGGTGGATGTTTGTATGGGGAAACAATCATTTCTCAAGTTAAGGACCAAATTTCGTTTATCCTAAAATTTTTACTGGAGTCAACATTTAGAATACCTTTTACTTTAGGAAAATCTTTCATTCCCACGGGAAAATACAATAACTGGTTCTATCGAGTCGTCCTTAGAAAATTACATAGAAAACACTGGTAAAATGCGATACAACAAAAGAATGTTCTACAAAAATTTAGGTCCTAAAAAGACCTATAGAAAACTCTGCAATTTATAGTATATATATCTATCTCTTAAGGTACACTCGTAATAAGTTTTTATATTTAAAATATAACAAGAGACGCACCCGAACGAAGCTAACGTAAGTCGCTAGTATATTATATTTATGTATAACAAATACAAACTAAGAAGTTAAAGTAGGTCTACGTTATACGAATACTTTAATCGTATATTTTATGTGACCTCTGATATTAAAGCTACATGGTTGAATGGATGTTATATTTTTTGCGTAAATTACATAATTGGCTGGTAAGTAACTTGTGTGACACCGCGACAAATTGTTGAAATTAAAAACTGATGCCGCACCTTTAGCCGACGTTGACTGTTTTTGCCGCTTTATGGCTGTTTCGTCATGATGAGGCTTTCTCATCACGTCATTTACATACACTTACGCACATTTTCTGTTTACTTTAAAAATTTCACTACCAATAATCTAAGCGATTCTAGTAAAGATACGTTAGAGATTCATCAATATGCGAACATTTTGTATCAGTTATAACCAGTGTTGACTTAATTTAAAATTTGAATTAATTTTATCATATAGAATTAATTTTATTTATACAAACAAAAATTGTTATAAAATATATATTCTCATTTTTTTAAATATTTTTTTTAAATATACTTATAATTTATTTCAACATTATTGTGCGGAAATCTATTCATGCTATAATGTTTTTGTGCAGCTCATAGTTAACAAGGCTAAATGGAGTATTTCACCATTGCCTCAATGAACTTCTTCCTAAATTAGGTAATTAATCTTATTTTGATGCGTATGTGAATTTCATTACTACTAAAATAAATCAGTTTTTATATTTGAATGACCGATTATTATCCATTGTTATATCTAAAATTAACCTAATTAAGCAGCTTATTATATTCAATTAATAGTTGTTATATGATCACCGGCCACCGCAGACAAGAGCTTACAATGTCTACTGATTACATAAATATTCCGATTTAGTAAATAAAAAAGAATATTTATATTATTTTAAATGCAGGATGCAACATGTGCCATTTGTAGAAAATTATAACACTTATTCGATTGCGATAACTTCTACGAGTGGCATCTGAGTCGTACCGGATATTCTGAGATTAGAGATGTATTTTCTATATCTATTATCTCTGATATAAAATATCTTGAATACCAATCGATAGCCGATAAGGAAGTGTATACGAGTATATGTACGCATGTGTGCACGTAAGCATATGTGCATACAACAAGAAAGTTTTTCAAATTATAATAAATTTCAATCTATAAAATAGAGCCGTCTTATGTCTGAGCTGATTTCATTCAATAAGCGTGAGATAAAATGACTGGGGTCTGGGATGCGTGCAAATTAATTAATAAAAAAAATATTTTATACTCATATACACTGTATACTAATAATCTAGTACTAAATTTTATATCTAGTTCTCTATAGTATACAGTCGGGTCGTCGTATTTAATCACTATATATTAGAAATGACCGCCTTCTGTCGCGCTGATTTTGTTTTTGTTCCAGTAAATCTTAGAAACTATAAACTGTATATATTCTCATAAGATAGATATCCTTATGAGAATATGGGAAGGCTATAATTTAAAAACATTTTACGAAAATCAGCTGCCGGTACGATTATATTTGTGAATTAAGTCGGAAAAATTGTCCCTTCTGAGAGCTTGTGTAATAATATGAATGCGAAGGCCATGTTTAAAGGGCACTGCTACCCCATTAAATATATAGCGTAGGGCTAAAAGATATGTGAATACTTTACGTATGTATATTTGAAGCAATATAAAATAATAACGATTATGTATTTTATCGTTTTATTATCATGATTTTTCACGCACGTTTCATATGTTTATAGGTAAAATAAAAACAGTTATTGAATTTAAATAAGTACTTACATTGTTTGTGTTAATTATATAGCTTTAATTTTTGACAATGTAAGTTCTGTAATTCAAGTTTGTGTTTAAGAAAATTTATGTTTTACCTGCGGCGTCACTCGCGTAGTTTATTTATGTACAAATACTCCGCTTCAGATAGCCGTAGTAGCGTGATGCTAGATAAACTTAATAAGCGAGTCAAAAAATGTAAAAAAAAATGCATAAGTTATAATGCCACATAAGTAAACAAAAAATAAACAATTCAGTTTGAAATATATTGGTAATACTAGCAACTCACCCTCGCTCCGCTCGAGTTCGTCCTAATTTATTTTGATTTAGTATAGATAACTCAGAGATGAGATATTTTCCCGCAGTAAAAAGTATCCTATATGTTGACCCGGATATCCAGCTACTATAATACCAAATTTCATCAAAATCCCTCCAGTGGTTTTTCCGTGATGCGGTAACAGACAGACAGAAATACAGACAGAAAGACAGACAAACAGACAAAAATTCTAAAAACTGTAGATTCGGCCTCTGTATCAGCCCGAGCGTTATGGTGGTATCAAGTTGTAAATTGTTCCCACAAATAAATATTTACGAAAAATAAAAAAAAACACAATCAAGAGGGACTGCATACATGAACACCCAATACAGTTAACTGATAGCGGTATTCAGATATGAACCCAGCGGGAGTCAATGCAGTTGTTGCATAACGCATCGTGGATCCGGCAAGTGGAATGCGTTGCACAATCATTCTTGACAACAGCAGTCCAAGGACGTTCCTGTAGTAAAATTAATTAATTTAACTTACATTTCTTAACATCTTCACTCAGTAGCTAGTTGTAATTTGAAAAAAATATATTTACCTTTTTCAATTTCGAAAAAGTGTTGTGTTTTCTTTGGAAATGGAAAAGTTATATAAATCTGTACATATAATCAAATTGTAACTAAGCCGAATCTGTAAATTGAATATTTTTTGGAAAATCTTATTGAAATAAACATTATTATCGATACAAAGGCCGAATCTATAGTTTTTAGAATTTTTGTCTGTCTGTCTGTCTATCTGTTACCGCATCACGGAAAAACCACTGGAGGGGTCTTGATGAAATTCGGTATGAAGGTAGCTGGTTATCCGGGTCAACATACTTTTTACCGCGGGAAAATATCTCATTTCTGAGAAAAAATACAAAAACTGCAATGTAGAGTATACTAATATGTAAAACTTGAGAATTTGGTTTTTGGTCATCTGAACGCGGGCGGAGCCGCGGGCAATGCTTAGCTAGTTATAATTCTGTATCAGTATATAACATAATATTCAATATGAAGACAAGAAAAGTAGAAAATATATTCTTGCTTACTAACTCTTTAAGGAACAGAATAAATATGTGTTGGTTGAACCGCGAAACAATTTTAATTGTTTAATTAATATTTGTTTAAAATTTTATTCAATGGTTATTAGTACTTTCTTAGACTTACGCGAATATTTGACATTTTAAATAAAACTATATTTTCGAATTTTTTCGCGAATTTACTTTGAACCAAAAACCAAAATAAATTCGCCAAAAAATCCGAAAATATAGTTTTATTTAAAATGTCAATAGTTATTTTTGGAATTATAATTGAATAATAAAAAAATCAAACAAACATTTTTATTAAATTGCGCTAATATTCTGCATATTATCTCAAATACAAGAGTTTTATTACAATGCTTTGTTTAATAACTACAATATCGTTGTGATTTCTATATCTTTATCTATTTTCTCTACTTAAAACTAATGAATATATGTAATTTTTACTAGCAACACAATAATACTATTTCATTTAATTCTTACTTACAAAATCAAATAATCGTATCAATAACACAAAACTTATATTTATTTTTATTTTTTATAAATATTGTCTTATATAGTTTTATCATACATAATATATTTTATAATACATATATTTCGTCTGGAAAAAGAATGAGGGGTTCATCACGTAGATCGGGATCTTAGACTATATATTCCTACCAATATACAAATAATACATGATTTCAAATAGTAGCTAAATACAGTTAATTAATGTAATTTAACAAAATGTAAAGCATTTAAATGTTATTCGCGTTTGCTGCGAGTGGTGGTACGTAGAGTAGCTGTGCAAGGTTGCTGCGCGCATAGCGGCCGCTCTGTTGCGGCGCGCCGTGGCCGGGCCGCCCCCAGAGCGATGCCCACGTACGGTGGTGGAGACGTACACTTTCTGCTGAATCACGGCGACGCTCCTATTACATTCAAATCAAATTATACTTTAATTTATTTAAATAGGTATTTGGAAGCACTTTTGGATCGTAATTGTTAGATTTTTTTAATTAAATTACAATATGTTAATCCGTAATGTAGTCTACTGGCTAGGAGAACAATTTTTATAAGAAGAGCTGACAAGATACTCAATAATTGATCGTTTAAAATGATAAGTAACATTAATTGTTGAATTTCTCAATAGAACTGCATTCAGAGTTAGCTACCTTAAAAACTGACTTTTTTTTGTATTTCTTATTCAAATGAGGTCGATGTAATTGCTGCCAAGTCCCGGCAAAAGCTGAAAAATTACGCAAATACATTTTAAATGTAACTATATTTTCGCGGATTATTTTGGCTGTTTTCCAGAGTTTTCAAGAACATTAGTCTCTTCCTACTTCCTTACCATATTTTCAACTGACTTTAAAAAGGAGGAGGTTCTCAATTTAGCTGTTTTTTTTTTTATAATTGTTACCTCAGAACTCCGTCATTTATACCGATTTGGACATTTTTTGTTTTGTTTGAAAGCGTATACTTCCAGTTTGGTCCATTTAAATTTGAAAACAAATTTTACCCCTAAGTATGGAAAAATAGCTAATGAAAATTCAACCTACTTCCAACTATCATATTGACTTGAAACTTCGCACGTTGATAGTGCAGTGATTCGGTATCATCGATCTGATCTGATGGTAAGGCTAGAAGGTGGATAGGATAGGTGGAACTCTTCAAAGGCTAATAGTAGATACTTACTTTGAGTTTGGGCTTACCTTGTTTGATTTGACAAGCTTAACACTTTAGTATTGGATTTTAGAGCCAGATTTTTTAGTGTTAAAATAAAAGCGAATTTTAGTTTGTCAGTCTTCATATAAAAATTGACATTATACGGCTTAAACGAACATTTTATTAAAATATTTCTTCTAAATTTGCTACTACTATATCTAAACTAAAATGGAAATATAGAAACTTAAAAAATAAATGAAAACCGAGTTCAAAGAAAACACTAAAAAGTAAAAAACGGTAGTCGGTTTTTTTTTTAAGTTTTTTTTGTAAAGCACTCGAAACGTTAGAATCGCAAAACCAAAATCACAATCAATCACTCAGAATATTTTTGAACAAATAATTCAGACCTTTTACTGATACTAATTTGATTTAACTTTAATATTTTGGCACATTTTGTAATATTTGAAGAAGGTAAAATATATTTTCATGTTCATTACATACAAATTGCATACCTCTTGTTTTTCACATTTAACTCGGATTTGGTGTTTGAGTTCTCTCAAATATTCCATATCGAGAAGTTCCCGCCACCTGAAATTTTATGTGCAAATTACTAGAAAAAATAAACTCAATCAATCAAACCTACTAAAATGTAATGTCATAATAATAAATGACGCTAGAATAAATTGTTTTAAACTTAAAGCAGCATTTAAATATGATAAATAGCCAGATGCTTCCAATATACCCAAATTTTAATAGATTATGATGAAAGAAAATTATGTGATAATTTTAATAATCATTAATAATAATAAATTATGGACATAATGATGAATGATTATAAATTGTATGACATTAATAAATTAAATTATACACAACATATTTTCTTTTACATATATAAAATGCTTTGGCCTGACTGACTGATTTATCAACGCACAGGCTAAACCGCTGCTCGTAGAAACGTGAAATTTGGAGGACCTATATCTCATATCATGTAGGCATCCGATAAGGAAGGATTTTTCAAAAGTCATCCCTTGAAGCGGTAAAAGAGGGTATTAAAATATATACGGGCAAAAATATTTATGATCAGAATTACTTGAAATTTGGTATTAATGCTCTTCAATACAATTAAATAAATAAGTTTTTTAGTATTTTTTTGAAATTCATCCCATAGAGGGGTAAAATAAGGGATAAAAGTTTGTATGAAACTTTATAGCCTTTACAATAAAAAATAAAACAATACAAGTATTAAATTTAAACATAGTAATATTACTGTGTGGGATGTTAGCCTATTACTATATATGTTAGGTATAAAGCCCATATTCGCCGAGTTATGTGATTCTAAAGTCGTAAACATTATATTGTTTATTATGTATAGGAGTTATATCATTGTAGTGTAGAGTAAGAGACTCTAACTTTGGAAAGATGTAGTAAAAAATGTGCAAGAAATAGAGGCAGTGGAGTTTGCTAAATATCTAAAATGAAAATTTATTTACAGAATATACCTACGTTTAACATCTTTTAAGATATTGTATATTTTGAGTTACGATCGCTAAAGTTAATTTTGTTTTCCATATAATATCTTTGAGAAATAATATGAAACACGAACTTAATTTTGCAAATAATAAAGTATGTTTTGCGAAAAAGTGTTTTTTTTCATGGTTTGATTGCGGGCGAAGCCGTGGGTTCTGCTAGTTAACCAATAAAAAATTAAATTGCTTCTGCCTATTAAATAATTAAAAACGTCTTTAATTGGATTAGCATAAGAAAATGACGTATCATATCGAAACTTACTATCTTTATAAGTTTACAAAATTCACGTCCTTATTTCTTCATAGTCATATTACAACTTTTGGAACATTATGAAACATAGATATGATGAAAATGAGTTATAACCCATAACATTCGTTCGAAAAAGTAATTAATAAAGTTTCTCGAATCATTGCACGCATGGTTTCATGTATGGCCTCGAGGCATGTCTAGTAGAACGTCACAAAACAAAAAAAACTAATGATATTAACAGCCTCTTGTGTGTATGAATTAATCCAATAATTAAAAAAATAGTCTTGCGTAATTTAATCGTGATACTTTTCTTATAAAACTATAACTCTGTAGTATCAATTAACCTTTCTACTACTAAAAGCTTTTAGATAGAATTATCGATACTCACACGTTGTATTGTTTCACTAAATATTGTGAATAAATCCCTCGTATAGACAATACTTATTTAACTGCCTCGGTGGTGTAGTGGCTAGCATGTACGGCTGCACACCCGGAGGTCCTGGGTTCGAGTCCCGGGTCGGGCCAAGTTTAGTTATTGAGTCTTTCTGTATATTAAGTCTCAGTAACAGCCCGGAGTTGGGAAGTTGGCGGTGTTTCACCCCCGTGCCTCGGAGAGCACGTAAAGCCGTCGGTCCTGCGCCTTAACTCTCACCGGTCGTGTCGAGTGGTCGTCCCACCGGAGTATGAGAGTGACAAGAATAGAGAGTGCACTTGTGTCTGCGCGTACACTTGAGCACTATAATATCTCCTGCGCAGTTGGATAATCTCAATGAGATTGGCCGCCGTAGCCGGAATCGGCTAGGAGAACATCATCATCACTTATAGTAGGGGAGCCCAAGAGGGGATTTTCTGTAGTTACTCGAGCGCGGCAGATTAACATAAAAGAGGTTACCTTGCACTCTATTGAGTACTTTCAACACAATATAAGTCTTCTATATAAAGGGGCGCGTCTAGGGAAGCCGATTAAAATATTTAAAAAATGTTTTGATAAGGTAGAAATACTTGAAACCGTCAGATTAAGGTGTGGTAGGCTAGTCACATCCTGAAAAGTGTCCAATTTAATAATCTGCCGATTTGCACAAGCCTAAGAGGCAAAAATCATCATAAACTTTATAGTCGATTTTTGCCTCTTCGGCTTGTGCAAATCGGCAGATTATTAAATTGGACACTTTTCAGGATGTGACTAGCCTACCACACCTTAATCTGACGGTTTCAAGTATTTCTACCTTATCAAAACATTTTTTAAATATTTTAATCGGCTTCCCTAGACGCGCCCCTTTATATAGAAGACTTATATTATGGTGAAAGTACTCAATAGAGTGCAAGGTAACCTCTTTTATGTTAATCTGCCGCGCTCGAGTAACTACAGAAAATCCCCTCTTGGGCTCCCCTACTATTATCAATATCATAAGCAAATCGGAATACAAACTATTATATATATATATATATATATATATATATATATGTGTGTGTGTGTGTGTGTGTATATATATATATATATATATATATATATATATATATATATATATATAACAAAATATATTATTTAATAGTAAAAAATACCTATTTAACGTCATTATTAAATGTCATAAGGCATACATACTGGCAAGATTGTTGGGGAGTTCGCGTGACGTCGCTAGAGTGCAGAGTGCGGGCTCCTATACGCCTCCTTCTCGCCAACAACGGTACGAGTTCTATGCCACCAGTTAATCTCAGTATTGTTGCTTCAGGAGTCAGCTTCTTTTCTATAATTCCATTTACATTATCCTCTTCATCATTAACGAACCGTTTCACTCTTTCACCATTAGATAAACGTTTTATAAATTTACTATTTTTAGGACTTTTCTTTGTCTTCCCACAGTTACATTTGGTAGAGTTATCACAATTTTTTCTTTTTTCTTCGGCACCAATATTTCCTTTAGAATTTTTACTAATTTCGGGTAATTTGTCAATATTAGAATGGTTTACGTTTTCTTTGTTTACTACATCTTTTGATTCATCGTCAGCTGTCTTTACTTTAGGTAAAGTGAGAGACGATCTCTTATACACCTTGTGTTCACCTTTTATTTTATTAAAAATTTTATTATCCGTCCAACCCTAGAAATGTTAAGTTGCATTAAAAATGTATAATGCACACATGTTAACAATTAATATTTTTACCATAGATTTGGAGAAATTTAATCCAATATCTCGAGGATTCCTCCAAGTAGTACCGCCCGGTCCTGGCTTGCCCCAAGGCCCTTCCATCGTGTGCTGAAACGTTAAAAACTATAAATAGTAAAAATAATAAAGTATGTTGTTACCTTTCTAATTATACTTAATTACTTCATATTTACCATTTTGCGCTCATATTCCATGTTATGTCTGAGTTCATCACTTATTGCCTTTTGTCTTTTGTGGACCATATCATCTGAAAAATTTCGTAATTAATAAGATGAAAGGCGCCCAAGTTTATGTAGCTTGTACGAGAAATTAATAGGTAGTCATACACCGTCTTAAGAAAAAGGTGTCGAATCATAATATAACATTAAAAAACTTTGTATGTTTTGAACGTTCATAATAGTATTTAATATTAAATATCAATTTTAACGTTAAGATAAATACTACATGTACGTTTAAGTATTACCACTACGTAATTCCAAACTACATTTGTTTCAGTCTTTTCTGTTCTAAATTAGTAATACAATACCTTTGGCATCAAATAAAATAAAAGTTGAAACTACTTACTTCATAAACTTTAAAGGTACGAAAAGAGAATCGAAGTAAAATGTTATTGAATGATTAATAAAATCTCACTGAATAAAGCAAGAAACGTATTTTATAAATAATTTTAAATACTGTAAAATATTTTTTACAACAAAATTATAACTATTGACACGATAAGTAGAGTTAAAAAGTATCTAAACAAAATGCCTATCTAACCAAAAAGCAACAGCATAGCTCTGTCATAATTTTACGATAATATTAGTTCTTGTATATTATTATAATTCTAAACCTAGAATTTGCTTGTAATTTTGTTTTTGCAGCGGGGTTTGCTTGTATCGAATGTCGTTGTCGACAGTTTGCCGCAATAGATCTGCGTAACAGAGTTGCGGGTCCTCTCGCAAGCGCACCGTACGCCGTTGTCGTGGCGACCACCACAGGATTCGCGATTCGTGGGCAGACACACCCTGAAATATAACGATTATGTAAATTAAAGTTTTTAATAAACATGGAAACTTTATAAAAATATATCCGAGCACTTCTTGATCACGAATTATATATTGCTGCAAAGCTAGTTTTATTTTAAACGTATGTTAACTTTACACACAAACATTTTTGGGAAATATCTTCTTAATGACGTAGTATTTAAGAATAACATTATCTATTAAATGAATCTATAAAAATATTAATTATTATTAAGAGATAAGTAGAATAGAGCTCGTAAATCTATTCTTTAGTTGATTTCGTGACATTTCCATACCTTACTTCTGCAATTATATTATATAAGCAAATATATTTTGTGTGTTATTGTCATTTGCACAAAGGCTAGTAAATTTTAAACACAGTAAATTACAACGCATAAAGCTACATTCCGCAGTGCGAAAGTTAGTTAGTCAGGACGTGGCTATTACCACACTTTTGGAATCTCCTCGTTATGTCACTGTCACGTCGGTGGTCAGTCCCTCCTTACACGCGCAATGTGACCTTTGCCTTATACAGATTGATTGCATGCGTTTGCTTTACGATCATGATAGCCTGAAGCTCTGATGATGTGATGCTTACTTTCGTAAACATTTTAATGTCTACCGACTTACTTATCATGAAACACCTATGTATCTATATTGAGAGACAATTGGAGACACCTTCGCTATTATTTGCTGAGGTTATGTGTTAATAAACTTGATTAATGAACATTAAACTTTATTGATCTTTTTGACATCAAAGTAAAGTTATGTTAAAAATTGAAAAAACATTTGGGCCTTCAAGAACTAATTAAATTATTACGGAAAGTTTAAAATGAGAGTAAAATACAGCAAAGCCACGAGCAAAGCTATCATCATGCACATGTTACAATGACCATTATTAGGCCTAAATATAGAACACTAGCCTTGCCCGCGGCTCCGCCCGCGTTCAGATGACCAAAAACCAAATTCTTAGATTTTACATATTAGTACACTCTTACATTGCAGTTTTTGTATTTTTTCTCAGAAATGAGACATTTTCCCGCGGTATAAAGTATCCTATATGTTGACCCGGATAACCAGCTATCACCATACCAAATTTTATCAAAATCCCTCCAGTGGTTTTTCCGTGATGCGGTAACAGACAGACAAACAAACAGACAGACAGACAGACAGACAGACAAAAATTCTAAAAACTATAAATTCGGCATCTGTATCGATAATAATGTCTATTTCAATAAGATTTTCCAAAAAATATTTAATGTACATATTCGGCTTAGTTACAATTTTATTATATGTATAGATGAATAAAAGCATAACGAAGTTTTACCTTCAATTCGTCTTCAGGATAAATTCCAACTGCACGTAGGTCGGAGAAACGTATACCATGAGGGTTGGGCGCGCCGCCCCCTGCGCGCCCCCACGGCTCATATGACGCCAGCTCTATACGAGCCTGGAATATATGTATATTGTTTTATAACGTTATCATCTATATGTTTTATATAGATGTTAGATGTTTTACATGTATACACTATACAATTATTGTTATTATAATGCAATTTAAATGCAGAAAAGATTAGTATTAAAATATTTAATATTTTCAATATATTTTACAACTTTATTATAGCTAAAGATAATAAACAATTGGCAACTACGACTTGTGTACGTAGTTTGAAGCAATGTTAAATAAGCGATATACATAGTATAGCGGATAGCAATGTGTATGGAAATTTCTAAACTTTCTTTAAACAAAGTTTCGTTTTTCTCATTGTTTTACTTTACAAAACTTTGTTTTAGCAATGCTTGTTGTTTAAATTTCATTGTTGCTTTAAATTCACTCTTAAAATGATTTTTATATTATAGCTTCACGCTCATTTTTAACAGGTAAATAATAAACAAGTAATAGCTAATACTATTCTGCTCTTTTTTTCTTATACATATACCTATAAGTTGCTATTGGTGTGCGATTCTCAAATCAAAATATTTTCTGACAGATAACGCAGAGTCTAAGCTCTAGGTCTAAAAGCATAAAATAAAATTTTCAAAATCTAACTGTAAATACGGAAAAGAAGTACTAAGGAAGGAATTTTAAGTATTGAATTTTAGAATTTAATGTATATTAATTAAGGGATTAAAGTTCGTATAAAAGTTAGTGATGAAAAATCTATGGGGCTTAGTGCTTGTTCTTTTCTATTTCTGTCGCTGAGAAATTTATAATATTATTTACACATACGAATATACTCGTACTTTAGCTTAACTGTAAATGGCCAGAATTATGCTATTTAAAATAGACTAGGATTTTTTTTCAGAAATGGCACCTAGAGAAACCTTCAAAGATAATTTTATATTTAACCTGTTTCTGTTGTTCAAACTTTTCTCTAAGGCGTTGCTCACGTCTCTCCCTTGCGAGTTTTTCACCTTCTGCGCGCGTTTGCTCTGCTCGACGACGTTGCCGAGCTCGCCGTCGCGCTGAACCAGATGTGGGAGCGCTTAATCTCCTTTAGATTATTAAAAAAAATAACATATATGATGACTACTGCGTGTAATAATTTACTTAATAGTTCGTAATCATATCCATCTTAAAATTTCAAGATATAAAAAAATAAATACTAAACAAAACAAGTATTTAAAAGAATTAAATTATCTTATTCATTCAACGTACAAAATCTTTATAGATTGCCACTTTTTGATGCATTTTAATTGAAACGGTATTTGAAAATTGCCAAATTACAATTTACTAGCTGTTTCGCTTAAAAATTAAATTAATAAAACAACTGAATTCTTACCTTAAGTTAATTAAAAGTATATCACAACTATTTATAAAAGTAATATCAGCTCTCATGTGAGAGTGCAGGGCTTTTGAAATAGGAAAAAAGAGGTGGAATAAAAGTAGAGAATTATACAATAAATAAAAATAAAATTTTAAGTAGGTATTTTTGTATTTTTTCAGAGAATATGAGTATGCTTTGAGTCTAGGCGAGAGCTAGGCGTCCGCGGCCGATATCATTATCAACCAACAATATATTATAAGATTTACTAGCGTTTTCCTGCGGCTCCGCCAGCATAGTACATTAATCACTAATATATCATATACTAAATCTTTCTCCGAAATACGCTGCATCTTATGGTATGAGTATTATTCCGATCGGTTCAGTAGTTATCGCAGTATAACCGAACAAAAAATCGGCTCTCCATTTATTAGTATTGATAAGATGGCAGTGGTCAATACGTAGTATTTTACATAGCATTATAATTAAATAGCTGGTTTTTGTGCCAAAACGGTTTAGGAGCTCTAGAAATAATAAAAAATTGCAATAAAATTGATTATATTTTTGTTAAGGTTCATGTAATAAACATATTGTTAGTATTTCGATCACGTATGTACGTCATTAAATATTATTTATTAGTAGTAGTAAAAGCAAAGATTAAAAAAAAAATTTCGTGAGCTCGTAACTTTGTTGTCATTGATGATATGAAAAAGTTGACATGAACTTATTATATGATTTTAAAGGTACTACAAATTTGACATTTAACATTTTTCTGTAACTCTTACAGTTTAGCTAAAAATGCAAAAGACCATAAATTTGAACTTTAAAGCTATATAACAAATAAAATATTGAAGATAGAAATTCGACTCAATGGAACTTTTTGTAGTAAATTTAATAGTAAAAACGGTCCATTCATTCATTTTTTTTTAAATATTTTCTTCATAGTTTGCAGGACAAAAAAGTGTTAAAAATCATATTTTCCATACAATTTGTACGGGAAAACTTCGATGTTGCGAAGTTCGATGGAGAACCTCTTAGAATTGGAATTTTGAGCACCGCTTTTAACAGGAGCTTTGTTGGGGCATTTTCTAACATATTTTGGGGTGAGAGCGAAGAAAAAAAATATCGTCATTCTTTGGCGCACCCTAATATATATATATATATATATATCAAACCTATATATATATAGGTTTGTATAGTTAACAGCTAATAAAGAAATGTATTTTTATGACAGAAATTAATCGATATCTTTAGCAACAAATACTTACGTTTACTCTCATTTTACGCAGTATTAAACTGTTCTAGGATCACTTATTTAAATTGCTCATTGTCACAACTTACCTTCGTAGTCGATTCGAGTGCAACGAAAACATTTAAAAACCACTTATGTATATTCATAAAGGTTTAATACGATACATATTACTATTTCTAATATTATAACTTTAATAAGAATAAATATATTAAGATGACATATAGAGTAAATATATTAAGATGAAAATGGTTGTAACTACACGAGTTTTCGTTTACAACTGCGAATTTGCGAGCCTGAAATAACTACGATAACATGAAAGCTGCACGCTTCAGGAAACGTTTCCATTGTAAGTTTCTAAAGTTCAATGCATTATTTCAATGCTGATAAATGATGAAAATTCTAGTATATAAAGTACTACGATTTATATTGTGGGTATATATTATTATTTTAGGTCAAAATTAATGTTTATTATATTAGATCAAGTTTTTTGATAGTTTTTTTAAATAGTTACTAGAAGTTAACTCATATAGCACATCAACGGATTTATTATATATTTAATCTACAATTAGATTAAATACGAATTAAAGTAAAAATGTAGAATATTAATATACAGCAGGACTGTTCAGAAATACCTACTACTTACCTTAGCAGACAATTGACGAAGACTGTAAGTGAACAGTAATATTTTACTACTATTTCGAAACGTTAGGTTAAAGTGGCACCTGAAGCAGCTATGCATTAACACGAACCTTTAATGTATTTAGCAAATCATCGTGCTATTTGAGTAGTTAGCTTCTTTAAAATACATGGAGTATGTAGGTCAAAACGCCTACAGTTAATTACCTGCGAATTGTCTACGTTGAAGCATTTAATATTTGTTCAGGCGCATGGAAAAAAGAATAGATAGATAGTATAAAATGAACTTTAGTAGAGTTTTTAATTAATAGAATCGTATTTGCGTTATTTAATACAATGATCATTCTAAACAAAACTTATAGGACTGACATGTCCTAAAAGGATAAAAGTCGCTAAATAAAAATAGGGATAAAAAAAACAAAAATTATATTAATTGGTAACTAAAATAATCCAAGATTCGAGCAACTGTTTTAATTTCCATATGGTGATATCACGTTACGTCTCCAGAAGATATAAAAGAGGCATGATTATAAAAATACGCAAATATTTTGCATGTCTTGTACCCTATTATGTACTAGCAACATGCACTGGTTTAACGGAAGGAAAGATTGATGTTATTTCTCGAAAGAAGAAAAATAAAAAATGTGATGGCAATAATGGCATGAGTACATGTAACTAACTGAAAAACTATTTTTTTCTAACTGAACATAGGTTATGGAAATGTCCTTCTGACCGATATCGGCTACGGCGATCAATCACACTGAGACTAGCCTCAACTGTACAGGAGATATTACGGTAGACGCACAGGCGCACATATAAGTACAAGTGTTATCTCTATTCATTTCATTCTGATATTTGGTTGGGATAGTATTTCGATATGAACAATTAAAGATCGACTTTACATACCTACCTTTGAGCCATGAGAGGGTAAAACGGCCAACATCCTATGTTGTGTATAATAATACTTATTTTAAGCTTGCAATAATAACTAATATTAACGATTAATTCAAATAAATCTCAAATTATAGATTCCCATATAAAAATGAAATTCATTAATTTATGTTATGCTAATAGTGTAGGGTTCAGTAAGAAAGCATAAGTATCATGTTTCATTGCTTTGTAATATTTTCAACATGTACCTAAATATTTAACTTTCATTGTAACTCTTATCTCAACTGTTATACAGACAAAAAAACCGCATCAAAATCCGTCCACTCGTTTAGAAGCTACGATGCCACAGACAAACACATCAAACTTATAACACCCCTCTTTTTGCATCGGGGGTTAAAAAATATATTCAACTAACTCAAATAATTCTTGGTATCAAAATACATGCTATTTATTTCATTCGATGCAAAAATTCGAAAATATTATTCGCATAGGCTGTTCTCAATTTGAAGGAATGATTAAATTTTCCATGTCATTTTTCAGCAGGCATTCAGTTCGTCCTGGCAGTGCCGGGCACGGAACGCAAATCGATATCCGCAAACACGCTATAATATATTGTATTCTTAAAGTGGTAGAGTAAGTGTGGTTTCAAATATAAATCATTTTGTATGTCTTTTTATTACCCGACTGCGACGAAGCCAAAAAAAGGGTTATTTGTTTGACCTGTGTTTACATAATATATAAGTCCGACCCTATGTTCTCTCGTAATTACTAAACGACTTAACCGATTTATATGATTATACATCGTTAGATTCTTCTAGATAACGCGAGTGTCAGTTTGTATATAGATATCATCAAAAGTGAAAATGGCGGATCTCAGGCGTCAATATTGTCTTTAGTCAGTTAATTTTTTTTTAGTCTGAATTGATCGAGTGGTGTTAGTATCAAAATACAGATTTTTAATTACGAAAGTATATACAACTTATATGTTTAAAAGTAATTTAGAATTATCGCCTTTTAACATGTCTAAAAGACATACCTACATTGTACATACACGTAGTTTATACTCGTAGTTAGTATAAAACTTTTTATTATTTCCGACTGCATAATACTATGTTTTTTCGTCAACTTGTTCTCATCTTTTTAGTTCACGTTTTTGCATAGTCGTTTTTTTTGTAATTATTATATGTAATAATTTGATTATAATCAAAATAATTAGGATAAGTTTTTGACACAAGTAACCTTTGTCTCTCGATTATACCTTCTTGTAAACTTATTGGCTCTCTGATTTAGACAATTATTATTTGATTCGTTGCTTCGCCGTGCCTGAAATTTGTCGCCATGCGCGGTTTGACTACTGTAAAATAAGAACATGCATGACCCAGTACCCTAGCATCATAACAAATGAATATGTCAAAATCAATACCGTAGTCAGTCTGATTTGAATACTGCGGATAATAGATCAAATATTAATTTGATGTTATGTTTCTGCTTAAGTAATTTGCTAGACGTATTAAAAGAAAAATCGTGGTATCGAAAATATTCCATATCTCCCAGTATAGAATTGTATGAAATTATTTTGAAAGGTCTTCTATCTCTGTTTCTCAGATTTTTACACCACATACTTCTAAAGAGCCGGCCGAATCTAAGTAAGTTAACAATTTTAGAAGCATATAATTCGGCAACTACTGGCTTAAGCAAAATGTCACTTAGAGTCATCCATCTGAATTTTTAAGACCTTTCCAGAGACACCAACGCTTTAAGTAAACTTAAATTTGTTTCCGCCTCAGTTGCCTATATGGAGTGACACCCTTATTTAAATTTTCTGTAACTTAACTGCAGCATTGTGGAGTAGTTCACACGGGCCACCTATTTATTGAATGATTTATTACATAAAAATATTTGGGGGTAGATTTACCAAAATAAATAATATTGAAATTGGAGGTTCTTAAAATTATAAAAATAAATATATTTATCACGGAATAAATAAACAGGTATAAGAAATAAAACAATATTTTGTAACTAATATTTATCAATTATTATTCGTGATTTAGCATTTTACAAAGTAATAAAATAATATTTACAAACAATCGCTATTAATATGACTACATATACATATGTATGCATGTAAATAAAACACATTGACTCCCTTTTAAAATAATGTACATTATACATAATATACAATCCGTAGTACCTTTACTATAAGCTGGCATAACGACTAAATATATAATACAAAAATAACATTTGTTAGAAATCTGTCTGTCTGTTCTCATTAAAAGAACCATCTTAATTTTTTTGTCATTTAGTCCTTGTGCCGGCTCCCTATATATTTAGCACATCAGCTACTAAAGTATTAAATAAAATATTACTTCTATACCACCATGGTCATATACCTTTCATGTTTTGAATATTATTTTGCCATTTTTTATTTACAATGAATCGTTACAGAATTGCTTATTTTATACTAAGGCGACAGTTTTATTTGCCCGAGCAGTGTTGTGCACTTCCGTACAAAACTAACAATTTATTACTATATATGAACATACATGTACCCACGCACGTGTATACTAAAGAAATTGAGGTAATTGGTTTTGAAGATTAAACACCGGTAACTTATCCAATGACTCAGTATTTACAAAGTTCAAATTATTAGGCCACGATGTCATATTATACGCATATTCAAGATAAGACAAGGCAAAGATAAACGGAAAATGTTTTAAAATATTTCCTTAAATGTTCATATATCAATATACATACGAGTACATTTATATATGCAACTTTATATATGCAACTTTAGAAATCATCATTTTATATATGCAACTTTAGAAATCGCACTAATGAATCTCTTTGATTTCGCATATGCATATATTATAACATCTAATAATTACGAAAAAATCAAATAATAGTGAAAATTCTTGCAAACAATTTGGCTCAAAGGCAGTGTGTGCTTCCACACAGGTACTTCATATTACGCTACATCTATATATAGAAAAATTGCACAAAGAAGAATGAAAACACGAACTTTTACTTCTAAAACATATCCCTATATACAATTTCGTCTACCGCGAGTAGACCTGTCCAGTAGTAGTTGAGCGGCGTATGAGCACTTATCTACAATAGTTGTTAATCAAAATAATCAAAACGGTAGATGGGTAGAACTAGATAGTTTACTATGAACGTAATATTCAAAGAAAACTTAAAGTAAATCAGGTCACAAATGTGAAGGAAAGTATAATAAGAAAGTTATATATAAAATAAATAAAATTTAAAGGTCATGTGATGAATTTAGTGTCGAGTGTTAGTTCATTTACATATGACCTTGATTTCACTCAATATTTTAGACACTTGACAGAAAATATCTATGATATTTTTATTAGTATATCTATAATTTTATGAATACGCAATAGCCTCCAGACATACAATACGACTGTTCTCATTCACAACAGATTCCATACACTCGATACTTATTTAAATTATAATTTTAAAGTTATTCTACGTAATAAAAGGTATCCAAAATTCTATATTTCGTTCGAACCCCTAACGGAGTTAAAGGGAGTGTGTTCTATATTATATCTTCCAAAGTACTTGAAAGTTCATGTACAAAAACCAAAAAGTACTTGGAAGAGTTCGACAAATATACAATAAGACGACTCGCGATACTTAATACGGAAATATTTCGAGTCCCAGAACCGTGGATGCCTTTCAACAGTGTTAAGTACCTGTAGCTTGAATGAAAGTAACACGCAAAATACAATATATCCAACCATTTCGCTCAAATTAGTTTCACTCGATTCTATTTAATTCGGGGACAATTCCTTTTAATTTTTGACCGAGAGAACAATACTTACATTACAATATCATCAATGCAAATATAATATCATTAAGATTACATTACATTGTTTATACATAATGATTATAAAAATAATATTTTTTCAACAATTTCATACACATTTCTTATTAGAATAATTTTTATAATATCATATATTACGCACATCGCGTACATGTCATAAATTTCTTTCGCATTGCGTCTACCTCCAATTACAAAATACTCTTTGATTCTACACGTTATCTCAGATTTCTTCTAAAGCCCGCAACAGGTCGACTGAACTTTTACGGTTGATTCACACTACAAGTCCACTTTCGAAACGCCGTCGGTTCGCTCTAGATTCTGTATATCATATAATATAATTATTTAGAATGAGACACATGTTCAGTGTGCAGAGTGTGAGATTTTCTGTCTATTCAACTGAGTTAACGGATTTGTATAGAATAGACACTGCGCTAAATTGTGAGAAAAGTACATATTTTTCTCTTTTCATCATAATGGTCAATTTACTCGATTTTTATTTATTTTTTTATTAGTTAATTAGTAACTAACATGTCTATTAAGATATGATATCCTCCAGGGGAAAATACAATCGCCTAATGATCTAAAAATATATGCTCACGTAGTTAAACGAACAACACTACTCAGCACACTGGTATGCAATATTAAGATACATTATGTTTTATCAATTAACAGAGCAATGTATAACAACAAGATAATTCTTCCGACGAGTTTATTTATGTACATCCATTTATTATATAGACGTCTTTGGAGTTATTATTGTCTTTGGCCTAACTCTAGTCAATTAAACTAGGAAAGTTTAAACAACCGTAAGCAATGAACGTCGAACAGAAACCTCTTAGAGCGAACCGTCTGCGAGCCATCAACTTACAACGTACAACAAACGCTCGAATACTGGGATTACCGTGTCGTGCTCATCTCGGCTACTTTACATAATTATTTGATTCTGTTGAGAACTAGATCGGTGGTTACTACGAGACCCTTCTGGTACGGCGAGTCGGCGAGTTCCGCCGCGAGGCGCGCCGCCTCCACGCCATGTTTCTTTGCTAAGAAGCGCGTCTGTTCGAGGCCGCGAGATTTGTGCACCAGTTCGAAGGCCTTCTCCACATCTCCGGCTTCTTGGAACCGCCTCATTATCATTGGGTTCAGCTCTGGATACTGGAATTTAATGGGGAATGATAATATTCTGTATATTTGTCTGTCATTTTCATATTAACTTTAAGTTTGCTCGGCATAATGTATATGTACATTCGAATAAATACATATTAAGATTAAATATGATATGAGGTACAGACACACAAAAAAATCATACACGAGAATTAAATAGCACCGGTTTTTCAAGTCAGTAAAAAAAATCACCTTACATTAAATTATTATATTCTTAAAAACTAATAATACCGTGCAATCATCACTTGCCTCGCAGAATGCAGGCAAAAGAAGTATATTATTACATTACCTTTATATTGTGTAATCGATATCGGACGTGATAACAATAAACCTACGATCAATACGCTGTTTTAATCAGACCGGGGCAAACCTCAACAAGCGAGAAATCGAATCTACACCACTTGCATAAGAAGAAGTAGAGTAGAAAAATGAATTTAGTGTTTAATTTTATTATATATACAGACCTTTTCACAAGCAAATAGTACAGGCGCAGTCGCCAGTCCGAGTCGAAGATCAGCAGCTGTAGGTTTGCCCATCGCTTGCGCCGACGACACAAAGTCTAATAAATCGTCTACAAGCTGGAAGGAAAGGCCCAAGTTGCGTCCGTACTGGAATGCTAACTCGCAAGTAGCTTCATCTGCACCACTCAGTAGTGCCACCTGGAAATAATATACACAATATTATGGCGATTACGATTATAGTACATATAACAATCCATACAGAAGTTAAAGTTGTAGTGTGATCTCGTGGCAAGTTTACCCGTCGACTCTAAAGCCATTTCCCGACTGTCATATAAAAGAACGTATCCCACCAATCTCCTTCGTATCTTCTCCATTCTACGAGACATTGACGAAGTAATCTCAGTGCTCAAATGACACACTTTGAAGCCATTATTAACAAGACAATTGGATTGATGAAAGAATGTATGTCAGTCGGGTGCGCCTCACCCGCATCTCATCACGCACTATGCTTTGTCTAAGCACATTAATTAAACGGCTCTATAGATTAGTAGATTGTATTATAATTTAAGACGCTCTAATGAAATACATATCCTACTAATATTATAAACGCGAAAGTTTGTAAGAATGTATGTATGGATGTTAGTTTGTTACTCTTTCACACCAGAAGGGCTGAACGGATCTGGATGAAATTTGGCACAGAGATAGATTAAATATTATAAACACCCTCTCGCCTCCTGAAGACTGGGTAAAATTGAGGTTTAAGATTCATTTATATCTCTAAAGAATACAATTACTCACTTAGTGAGAAACATTAATTTTACGTAGATAACACGGCTAGTATAAACTATTTTATCGATTAGAACTCAAACAATAATACTGGAAGTGGTTTTAAGTTTATGTTTATTTTACTGTCATATAAATGATTATAAGTTTTAACTTTAAAATTAGTAATTTTATTAATACTATTAATAATTTTAGTCATAATTTAATATTAAATATATTATGATTAGGTTACTGATATTTTATGTAGTATATTTATTGCCAATATGTCTTTTTTAACTTCTTTTTGTAAGATTCCATTGGTTTTTTCACTTTTAATATTAGGGACCATCCATAAATTATGTCACACGAATTTAGTGATTCTTAACATTCGTTTTAAGAATATTTTATAGAATTATTATGGTACTAGCGACTCACCCTCGCTTCGCTCGGGTTCGTCCCTAGCTTGTTTGCCCATACAAATTTTCATACCCATTTGCACCCCCTTAAGGGATGATTTCCGGGAGAAAAATATATAGTATCCTATGTCCTTCCCAGGGTCTCAAACTATATTCTTACCAAATTTCATCTAAATCGATTCAATAGATCCAGAGATTACCCTCTACAACGTCACAAACTCACAAACTTTACCTCTATAATAATAGTATAGATATAAATAAAAAGTACCTATTAATTCGCGCGCTCTTATTCGATGCTTTTAATTGTCTGCTGCATAACTAGAACCTCAGATTGTAATTATTGCCAGCAACCATAATAAGTTTAAATTGAGAAATTATGAACGTAAATTAATTATCTATATCTAAAAATTTGTATCGTATTATATAATTTATAGATTACTTACGTTTTCTTATCATTTTATCTGTATACAAATAAATAAAACGAAGTATTTCTAAATAATTAAACCGCTGCCACGAAAATAAGTGATTACAGTGTATAAAGAAAGATACTGATATAGTTCCTATAAAGTGATCCACAGCGGCTGCCTACATTATAAATGAAAAAAATATTTCACAATCCATACCACACATCCATAATTAATAACAAGATATAGATATGGAAATGATAAAACTCAATAGGTACAAAAACTTTACCAGTATTGGTATATCCCAAACGTCTCGTAAGTGCTTACTTATTACGTTATTACGTCAAGTAGCAAAATAAGGCAAGAAATACATATAATATAGTTACCGCTTTAACAGAATTAGCCATGAGGGATGCTGTCTTTCTGTATGTTTTTGTGAGGTAGTGCGCAAACCGCTCGTTTTCAGTTTCTTTGCTACCGAGCTGCATGAACTCTCCTTGCACCAAATCTGTGACCACCTAGAACAAATAAATACATAAATATAATACTTTTTTAGATTTTCGCGATTTTTTTACACCTTATCTTTTCTTTTAATATTATAAATACGAAAGGTTGCATGGATGGATGTTTGTTAATTAATTACGCCGGAACGGCTGAACTGATCTGGATGAAATTTGGCACAGAAATAGATTATAGTCTAGAATACATAAGCTACTTTTTATCCTGGAAAATTGTACGGAGTAGTTAGTTTTAAATAAAACTATCGGATTCTGTCGCGGTTTTACTTAATAGTCTACGACCTTTACAAATATTTTGCAAGAACCATGGTCACGGGAGCAACAATAATATAACCATAATTCAACCAAAATTTCCTCAAATAAACAAAAACTTTCATCTATATTATAATTGACCAAGCAGGCGAGCGTATCTGCTTCAAATCTGGCAAAATTTGCTTTCCTCTCTCAGTTTGTTGGTACTCCTTAGGGTTTGGAAAGTCTCTACATTCTCAAAGTCCCAGGACACGAGACCATCCATGACAACCCGGGACTTCCAAGACTTCTCAAAATAAAATTAGATTAATTTTTGCCAAGATGTGTATAAATAAAGTAATTTTAGTAAAAATCTACATTTATTGAACATATTTAATGTTTCAAATTCTAACATAGTTCTTATTCTTTATAGTATATGCAATTTGTATAATTCATTTTTATAATAACAAATTCAGTTTTTGGCAATAAAATCTTATAATTATAAAGCAAACTTAATTAACTCGATTTTTAATGTTGCCCTTGATTTTTTTATAGAATTTCAGGGAATTTTTGCGATTTTTTTTAATTGTCTGTTCTATTTGAATTTGAAACGACTCGTCGGGTTCGCTGTATACCTACAGTAGTCGAGCTACAAGGTTCCGGCATCCATTATTTCCAATTCTGGCGTTTGAATAAGAGGGATAAATTCAAAAAGTCTGCAAAACAGTTCTTCCGCAAGCTCAATAAATCAGTTTTACTCTAAAAAAATGTCTCGAGTCTCGACGCGAAAGTCTCGGGACGCGAGATAACTAAATTTACAAAAAGTAGTAATTCTTTACAGGACGTATCTTAGAATCGATCTGGACGAAATTTGGTATACAAGTTTTACGACTTTAAAGATTTTTTTTGACGACGGGGATTTTTGATTGGAGGGGCACTTCCTCCAAAAAGGCGGCTATTGGATATCTACGTCTTAAGAGACCCGATTACGATGTTTCTATTTTTATTTGAAAGGAAGTAACTTAAATTCGTCTCATAAAAATTTGGTGAAGTTCTATGAGGATCTTCGGTATGAATATAATCTTTAGTGGTATATTAATTGTTTTATAAAAATTGTGCTCGCAAGGTCTATCGTTCGCAGAACTACCTACTAGTATAATTATAGTAATAATGACATTTTCTCATACTGAACGACTGCGCTTTAATTCTTAGATACCAATTAATCTATTTATGCTTCATCATCATATTATTTTTACCAACATGCATATTAGTTAATACTATTTAATGAATATTTACTTTTTAACGTATTTCTAATATTATTTTTCTGTATGTCGTAAGTCGTAACACAAGTCTCATCAGTCAACAGAGATCGATGTCAGAGTCGGATGATCCGATCAATAATAATTATTAGGTAAAACTAAACCGATTGTGAGATATAAAAGATTTATTCACAGGTGTAAAACGTTTTGAGAAATAAAGTATTATGTACTCGTATGTGAAAAGTGTTAAATATTGTTTGATACCACTAGTGAGTATTCTAAATTATTGCAGGAGACGCCGGCGCATGAAGCATATTATATAGAATCAGTAGAAATAAGTGTTTCAAACAGAAGTAAATAATTAGTAGAAAAGAAACAATAGTAATAAACAAGCACATAAATTATTTTAATTAAATACAGCATATACTCGACAATGCTTCTGATAGGAGTTTAAAGCTTATCGAATAGGTACATCTCTCAATAAAAATTTATTAACGGCCTAATAACACACTAGCATTAGTTATAGTTTCGAAATTACCTATAATATCTGGTGGTATCGCAATGAATAATATTTATTGTTCGTTGCGTACTTGCACAACTATTGAAAAATTATTTATTACTATCGACTCACCCTCGGCGTCGCTCCGCTCGGGTTCGTCCCTACTTACGTTTTAACTTTTAGTATAGATTTCTCAGAAATGAGATATTTTCCCGTAATAAAAAGTATCCTATATGTTGACCCGGATAACCAGCTATCATCATACCAAATTTCATCAAAATCCCTCCAGTGGTTTTTCCGTGATGCGGTAACAGACAGACAGACAAAAATTCTAAAAACTATAGATTCGGCCTCTGTATCGATAATAATGTCTATTTCAATAAGATTTTCCAAAAAAATTTTCATGTACAGATTCGGCTCAGTTAGAATTTTATTACGAGTATATGTATAGATAACTAATTTTAATATCAGCGGGAAATACGAGTATATTAATAACTATTAAATTAACTTAAAAGCAGTTAGTATATGTCACTTATCATTTGAATATTTATGTATTTCTTCGTTACTTAAATGATTACAGTTAACAGAATTGTAATATACTCCGAACATTTTTTCGCTAATTATAAACAAACTAGCAGAACCCGCGGCTTCACTCGCGCTAAAACTACAAAAAAATCTCTAAAAAGGTAGTTAGTTTCATACAAACTTTCATCCCCTATTTTACCCCCTAATAGGATGAATTTAGAAAAATGCTAAAATATGTATTTATTTCATTTTATTGAAGAGCATTAATACCAAGTTTCAAATAATTCTGACCACAATTCTTTTTTATTGTATTATAACGTGTTTTCCCGTGGGAATTAGATAATCTCCCGCGATAAAAAGTAGCCTATATCACTCCGTTTCGACGTGAAAGAAGGACAAACAAACAAACACACTTTCACATTTATACAATCGCTCCAACATGACCACACACTCACAAACAAATACTATCTATAGGACGCTTACTGAAAAACAAGTCAAGGAGGCTTCATGCATTTTTTTACCATGAATTTATTAGAATAAAATCAGTTTATTGAATAATAAAACTTTTAAGCATAGCAGTTCCTAAATACCCGGTTAGTTCCTACCTGGCTAAGTACTAGAGTGACCTCGTCGCTGCGCAAGCGAGCTATCATCATCGACGCCACGGCGAGGATGAAGTCGCCGGCCATGGCCACCTGGAAATGAAGAAATAAACAACATTTTAATATGGCAACAAAATATTATATTAATAAAATGATTAACATACATATTTCTTATTTGTTAGGATATTATCATATTATCGTTGTTTGCTGTTTTCATGAGTTCACTAGTGACGTAACGAATGTTCGATTTTTCACATTCGCGAATGCGAATGAATTTCATTATTTTTCATTTATAGAAAAAAAATATAGTGAAAAAATATATAATTTAAAGCAAAGGTTAAATATAATTGTGAATATTAATAATAAATATTAATAATAAATATCATTAGAACCTTACTTTTGTTTAATACCGAAATAAATATATTGTTTTGTGTAAAAGAAATTTTAACTTTAACAAATATCTAAACTATTGTTAACTAAGTAATGTATTCATATTATTTTTTTTGAGTTTATATTTCACTAGCAACTCAACCTCGCTTCGCTCGGGTTCGTCCCTACGTTGATTCCCCATACAAAGTTTACATCGTTTTGGAGAGCCTCTTCGGTACAAACAAACAAAAAATCAAATCTTTCCTCTTTATAATATTAGTATAGATTATCTTTAATTCTTAGAAAAAAGAAATAATGGAATGGAAATATATATAATTAAATCCAAAGGTTTATATAACATTTTGGGTATTAGAAATTTAATTTTGATTCAATTTTTTTTTGTTTTCTGTAGAAAGAAATTATAAACTTTATTTAAATATAGTAATTAAAATCTCCTAAATGACTTCCTTACATAATTGTAACAAGACTTCTTAGACCTAGATATAATTTTAATTTTATTAGACCTCTCAACTTCTTTTTTTTTAGAACATACTAGCGACTCACCCTCGCTTCGCTCGGGTTCGTCCCTGGCTTGATTCTCCATACAAACTATCATCCCCATTTTCACCCCCTTAAGGGATGATTTCCGGGATAAAAAAGTATCCTACGTCCTTCCCAGGCTCTCAAACTATCTTCTTACCAAATTTCATCGAAATCGGTTCAGTAGATCCAGAGATTATAATTTGTTATTTGAATTTTTCAAAATTTAAAGGACATTATTATTTTTAGTTTAGTTGTGATTTTTTTAATATTTTAATTAGACTAACAAGAACTCAAGACTGTTCATCGTTTAAGAGTTTATCGTTTTTTTAACTTTTTATTCAAATATTATACGTGAATAAAAAAATATAAATCTTATAAATTGTATTATTATCATTCCATATCTATTCACTCCATATATAATTTGCTTTTTGTTTGTCAAATACATTCGCCAAGCATTCGCATCGTTTCTTACGAATACGAATGGCAAAAACTATGCGAAATTTTATTAAAGGTTTTGAAATTAAAATGATAGTATCCATAATTTATTATAGTACATCGTCGTACATTTTAACTTAATATAATTACCTACTCCTAAAGTGTATTACAATGGAAAAAAGTAAAATATTCTATTTTTACAATAAGAGTTCATAATAATAAAAGTAGGATGTAGCGATGACGCTATCAAGTAAAACCATTTTGTCCGATAGTAAACTATTGTTTATATATTTCGTCAGAGTTAGGTATATATGTAAACCCTAAACGGATGTTAACCAACTTAATATACGTTTGTATCTAGGTCTTCAGACAGATAAACAACTATTTTATCTATATATAAATATCCAAACAGATACACCATACTAAATAGTGAAAAATTCTCTACGCGTATACTTGGTAAAGTATAAAAGTAAATTGCTTACAAATTTAGTTCAATGACAACTACTTAAGGTATATACGATTTGCTATTTAGAATTAGGCAAGTTAAATATTGAGCATGCGTCTAATTCTGAGTAACACACCGAAGTGAACACCTTGGCAAAGTCTAGTTTACTCTCGGTCTACTTTTTGTACTTGTCGCTTTGTGCGTAAACGTGAATCAGTTAAGTAATAGCATCAAGTTTAAGAAGGAAACTTTAACTTTTAAGATATAATATCTAAACACCGGTTTCAAACAATAATTTAAAATCAGTCAATGTCCACATTAGATCAAAGCGTTCAATCAATTATTTGTTATGTATATCGACGTTCATTTCTCCGGCAACCACTAAGAATGTGTAGAAAGTTGTGATGCCGTCGCATACTAATACAGAATCGAGCGTTTCGCCGGACGCTCGGCCGGTGACTCGCACCCGGCTTTCGGAAACACACACTGCCCATTCATAAATACTGGACACTAGTTAACCTACATTCATTGACCGGCTTACGCACCTATATACAGTACTAAGTTGGGTTAAAAAATAAGGAAGACAAGGTAAAATCGCCAAGCAAGCTGCCAAGACGCTTAGCATTGATCAAAATATATCATATGTTCTTGGTTTGGAAGATCACTATGAACACAAGATTACTAAAACTTAAATTTGGAAATGTTACATTATTAATTATTATAAATCTAAAATTTAAAATAATTAATTGTATTTTAAAATTTTACACATCTACATTATTAATTCTATAATTTATTTATTTAAGAAAAAATATTAAATCTATAACAACTTTCACCACACTTATTAACAGCTCACCTGAATGACAATGATCAAATAGACGAAGCAACTTGTCCTTAAACCTGTGACCTTTTTCAAATTTACTCAAGCAATTTGAGTGAACTCGGTTGTTGAGAAACAGCCAAAGCAGTCGAAAATATTAAATCAAGTTTAGTACAACATGCATACTATTAAACAAAATAAGTATATTATAATATATTAATTGAAAAATCATAAATTAACTTAATGTACGACTAAAAATGATTCGGTAATGAAATAATATTTATGAGTAGTCTATTACTTATTAAAAACATATATTTATATCAGTTTTACAACAGTTGCATTAATTACACTGATAACATAAGACAACGGGATTTGAGACGGGAATGGCTGGTGGTGGCGCGTGTCGTTCGCGCTTCGCTGATCGAATCATGCACGCATTAACACACTTTCTGCCGCTATCCGAACTATAATATATCCGTTATACGGACGTCTACCCAATATATGTATAATAACATATAGCTATTGCGAAATAATTGACTTTATAGACTAATTATATTATACTTTCGGCTGAAATATTAATTTACTGTAGGTAACAAATTTTTGTGTTTTGTCTGTCTATCTGTGTCTATCATATCGTGACTACGAATAGGCGGCCAGACTATAATTAATCATTTATTTGTGGCAGAAAATATTTCTTTAGTAAAAAATATATATAATTAAATTTGCAAAACTAGACAATTTAGTTAAAACGGGAAGAGAAAGTAAGCTCGAAATAACTTTCATATTTTGATGACTAATCAATTTAAAATTTATTATTTACAAAATTTGTTGCTTTTCCATTTTTTTTAAGTACGAAGATATAAGTAAAGGTAATTTACACTAATGAAGCAAATATAAAATAAAGCACGATGTCTTTTACTATTGAAAATCGATTTTATTAAATTTAATAAAAACATTTCTAAATATGTAATAATTACTTTAAATTTGTATGAAGTGTGTTTGTGTATTTATTTTTATTATGGAAAACATGTTATATTACAACCCAAAAAAATATTTGTGATCAGAATTACTTGACACTTGGTATTAATGCTCTTCAATATTATTTAATAAATAAGTTCTTTAGCTTTTTTCGAATTTCATCCCATAAGGGATTAAATTAAAATAGCTTTTCGGCAAATTAAAAAAGGAATTTAATCGAATGTAATTCTTTCTTAAATCTCAGGGCCAGTCGTTCAAAGTAGCAGGCAAAGACTTAAGAGAGGATACTTCTCACGTGGACATTTTAACAGAACCAAGAACCACCACCAATGTGGTATACAAAGAAGTTCTTACTTAAATAATTAAATTCCAACTTCCAGTCCGCGAATTTTTAGCGTAGACTAAGCTAAGTAAATCTAAAATGATAACGTACAACAATAACAACAAATTCAACATGAGAACATATAAATTCAATGGAAATTAAAACTGAACAAATCTTTTAGTCCACGCGAGCGTAGCCGCGGGCAGAAAGCCTAATAAAATAGGAATAGCATTTTAAAGTAACTTAAAAAAGGAGCGAAAGGACTGAAGTTTCAGGTGTACTTGACATTGTGTCGTTAAAAATATCGTAGATGTTAGCCTGTTAGTATATTAGCCGAGTTACATGATTCTTAAGTCGTAAACATTGTGAGTTGTATTATTTTTACTCTCTACCTTTAACTTCGAAAAGATGAAATAGTAAATATGCAAAAAATAGAGGTAGTAGAGCTTGCTAAATACTTTAAATGAAAATTCATTTACAGAATACATATACATAAAATATCTTTTCAGTTACTGGATATTTTGAGTGGCGATTACTAATATTAAAGTTTTCCCTAATATCTTTAGGAATAATGTGAAACGCGAACATATTTTTGCAAATAATAAAGTATATATTGCGAAAACGTAAAAAAATACTTGTGTATAAATATGTTAGTAAAAACAACACAATATTCGGCGTTACAGAACCCTCGTTCCAAATGTAGGCAAATTTGTATGTACAATGTACATACATTCACAATGATAAATTTGTAAATAATATGTAAAAAAATATAAAATTCCTGTTATTTAAATCATTCCATACTAACGTCATATACTGGTCATATAAATTATATATTAGGCATGGAACATTTCACGAGTAGCAAGTGAAAAATCACATGAAATGCGTTATCATACGTCACACCTACTACTTAAATTCACAGTGACTGCTACAAATCACCATAAACTTTATAGTCGATTTTTGCCTCTTCGGCTTGTGCAAATCGGCAGATTATTGAATTGGACACTTTTCAGGATGTGACTAGCCTACCACACCTTAATCTGACGGTTTCAAGTATTTCTACCTTATCAAAACATTTTTTAAATATTTTAATCGGCTTCCCTAGACGCGCCCCTTTATATAGAAGACTTATATTATGGTGAAAGTACTCAATAGAGTGCAAGGTAACCTCTTTTATGTTAATCTGC